ACTACCATCCCCACCCCCTCCACACAGCTCATTTCTACCTTCTTCCCAAAATTCACAAACAGGACTGACTGGCCAGACCCATCGTCTTTACCTGCTCCTGCCCCACAGAACTCACTTCTTCCTACCTTGATTCAGTCTCATCTCCCTAGGTCCAGTCCCTGCCCACTTACATGCTCGATTCCTCAGACACTTTATGCCAGTTTCAGAATTTCCAGTTTGCAGGCTCCAGCCACCTCCTCTTTACCATGGACATGCAATCCCTTTACATGTCCATCCCCCACCAAGATGATCACAGGGCTCTCCGCTTTTTCCTGGAACAAAGGCCTGAACTGTCTCCATCCACCATCAGCCTCCTCCACTAGCCAAGCACGTCCTCACCCTGAACAACTTTTCTCTAACTCCTCTCATTTTCTTCAGGCCACAGGGGTGGCCACAGGCATGCGCATGGGCCCCAGTTATGCCTGTTTCTTTCTGGGCTACGTGGAACATTCCTTATTCCAGTCATATTCTAGCCCCCACCCACAACTCTTTCTCTGGTATATCGATGCTATCATCAGCACTGCCTCCCTCTCTCATCCAGAACTGGAAAAGTTTATTAATTTCACTTCCAATTTCCACCCCGCTCTCACCTTCACCTGGTCCATCTCTGACTGCTCCCTTCCCTTCCTCAACATCTGTTTCCATTTCTGGGCTACCAATATCCACTATAAACCAGACGTCTCCCACAGTTACCTGGACTATACATCCTCACACCCTGCTTCCTGTATATATTCTATTCTATTTTCCCAGTTCCTCCATTTCTGCTGCAGTTGTTCCAACGATGCCAACTTCAACGAGAGAGCCTCTGAAATGTTCACCTTCTTCCTCAGCTGAGGATTCCCCAGCACTGTTGTTGTTAGGGCCCTCAGCCAGGTCTGACCCATCTCCCATACTTCAGCCTTCACCTGCTCTCCTTCCCGCAACAGTAATAGAGTCCCCCGTATCCATACCTACCATCCCACCAGCATTCGCATCCAGGGGATCATTAGGTGCCATTTTTGCCACCTGCAGCAAAATGCCACCACCAGACATGCATTCCCCTCTCCTCCGTTATGAGACTTCCGCATCGCCCATTCCCTCCGAGACACCCTAGTCCACTCTTCTTGCACTCCCAACACCTCCCCCACTGCAACAACCCCATGGCACCTTTCCCTGCAACACCTGTCCGTTTACTTCCTCCCTCCTCCGTATCCAAGCATACAAACACAGGCTCCAGGTGAAGCAGCACTTTACCTGCACGTCACACAATCTAATCTATTGCATTCATCACTCACAATGTGGTCTCCTCTACATTGGGGAAACGAAGCGTTGACTGAGTGATCGCTTCGCAGAAGACTTGCATTCTGTTCGCAAAGAAGACCCTGAACTTCCAGTTGCCCACCACTTTAACACACTACCCTGTTTCCTGACCAACATCTGTCTCGGACTTACTGCAGTGTTCCAGCAAAGCTCAACGCAAGCTGGAAGAACAGCACCGTATTTTTGCCTGGGGACCCTGCAGCCTTCCAGACTCAATATCAAGTTCAATAACTTTAGAGATTGAGCTCTCCCATGTCCTAGCCCCAACCCCCACAAACAGGCCTTATAATCATTTGGGTCAAGCGACCCTTCCTCAGAACTGATGGTAGCGAGGAAAATATCGATTTATACGCAGAGGATAGGGTGGGGAGAGGTGCTAAGGGGTAAACAATAGATGCAGATAGAGCCCAAAAAGAGAGAAGAGCAGCTAGACAGACTAAGGAGTGGATAACGATCTGGCTGGGAGGGTGACTATCTGTTAATGGGGACTGTTGGTGGTGTGTCATAGCAGACTATGTGATCACTACCATTAGTTCGAAGGAAGGGTCACTTGACAAAAGTGTTAACTCTGATTTCTCTCCACAAACGCCGCCAGACCTGCTGAGCTTTTCCAGAAACTTCATTTTTGTTTCTTTTTAGCATATTCTCTTTGCTACTGTCAACAGCCTTCAAAATCTTTCATGGGGATACCAACTTACTTTCTAAAATAGAGGGAAAACTGTTCAGCCTGTTTGCCTGAGCTCCAACATAAAAGGTATGCCAAGCTCTCAGGGGTTTGCTCTATGCCAATGATGCCGTACTATCATTTCATACCAAAGAACACCTTCCGCACCAAAGGGATAGGATATTGCTATACAGCTGTCAACCAGCTCTGTCAATGTGACGTTGAAGGTTGTTGGTAGTTTCACATAACAGTAATTCCATGATGTTGCACATCTCTAACCAGCTGCCCAGTGAAGCTTCTGAAAGTAGCTTTCTTTTAACATTGCCAAAAAAGATATACCTCAATGTTACATTAAAGTTCCACACAAAACCTCTTAAATAACTTTGGTGAGCAACTACTTTCAAGTGATCAAACGGTCATTTGTTGTTTTGAAATGAATACTATTAAGTATTGTCATTACTGAAAATATTACTGTATATGTACTAAAGTAGCTGAAGAACTGAGGTTTATTCCAATGAAGAGATATACAGGTTTGGAAGCAAATTATTCACCTGGTTAAGAGATTGCTCTATGACTGGAGACAGAGAAGGGATAATGGCCAAGTACTGCAACTGGGATAATGTAACTAGTGATATCCTAAAGGAATCTGTGTCAGGGCTAAAGTAGTCTCAAATTTTGTTTTCTTCTGTAGAGACACTTAACATTTTTGATGTGATCATGGAAGGATGATAATCTAAAGGTACCAACTTGTATGTGGCTGGGGTTGAAACTTTCAGATTACTACTTGGTCAGGCATCTTAGAAAACATTGGTTATGGCCTCAAATGTTCATGCTATTTATTAACTACCTAAGATGATGGGGGAAAAGTGCCAAGATCACAGAAGTAGGCAGCACTGGAAACAAATAAATAGTAGTATTAACAATTAAATGGATGGGCAAATCAATGGCAAAATGGATTTGAATAAACACAAGGGTTTTTTGCCTAAAATGGATACATTTTAATACTTTCCAAAAGTAATGGAAGTCTAAAATGTCATCGGGGTCCAAACTAAAAGAAACATCCAAAGCCTAGTGGAATGCTGGCCTTCATATCTATAGGGTTAGAATAAAAGGCGTTAGGAGTCCTGCTTCATTCACACAAAGCCCAGGTTACATGAAACCTTAAGGCGGGTGATAGTTCCAGACACCACATCTTAAGGATATTACTCTGTGAGGGAATGCAGCATAAATTTACTACAATAAAATTTGGATTCCAAAGGTTAAATTGAAAAGAGAGATGATATAAACTAGAAATGTATTTACTGGAATATAGAACTTTAACTGAATATGATCTCTTTTTAAAGTTATGAAGAACAGATGCAGAAGATAACGCGAGAACCCATTCCCACCAGTTGAGGAGTTTAGGTTTAGACTGCATGGTGATGGCAGGAAACACTTCCTCACACAGGTTCCAGGAAATAACCATCTCCAACAAGAGATATTCTAACCAGCTTCTGGGCAGCAATATGGATTTGTGGTTAGTACTGCTGCCTCACAGCGCCAGGGACCTGGGTTCGATCCTACTCTCAAGTAACTGTCTGTGTGGAGCTTGCATATTCTCATGTCTGTGCGGGTTTCCTCTAGGAGCTTCGGTTTCCTCCCACAGTCCAAAGATGTGCAGGTTGGGTGGAATGGCCATGCTAAATTGCCCATAGTGTCCAGGGATGTTTAGGCTAGGTGAATTAACCATGGGAAATGCAGGGTTACAGGGATAGGGTAGCAGGGTGGGTATGGGTGGGACGCTTTTTGGAGGGTTGGTGTGAACTCGATGGGTCAAATGGCCTGCCTCCACAAGGAAGGGATGCTATGATTTTCTTTACAGTTAACAATATTATCATCACTAAATCCTCCAGCATCAACACTTAGGGTTTATAATCGACCAGCAACTTACCTGACCAGCCACATTAGTAACATGACTATGTTAAAGCAGATCAAAATTGAGATTATTGCAGCCAAAAGTCTTTTGATACTCCAAACTTATTCAACATTTAAAAGGCACAAGTGAATTACTCTCCACTTACCTGGATGAATGCAGCTTCAACAACACACAAGGAAGAACACCATCCAAGACTAAGCAACTTGCTCGAGTAGCACTGCACCCACCACCAATATTCACTCCCTCCATCACTGGCACATAGCACATGTACTATTTACATGATGCACTGCAGTGACATGTGAAGGTTTCCAAACATGCCACTTCAATAACCCAGAAGAACAAGGACAGCAGCTGAATGTAAACAACCAAAGCTCCCTTATAAGACACACACTCTCCTAGTTTGGATCTACATGCCTGTTCCTTCATTTCAATGGAACAGAACTCTGGAACATCATTCCCAACAGCAATTTTTATGCATACCTAAAACTAGTTGGACTGCATCAGTTCAAGAAGGCAGTTCAGCACCAGCTTCTGATAGTAAACTTCTGAACCCAAGCAGTCCAAACACAAATATCCATAATAAAAATGATGCTGTAAAATTAAGATGGAGAGAATAAAAACAGGAAATAATGAAAATTTTACGTCAACTTTCTTGTTGTCCATAAGCCTAATCAAGTGATAGTAAGTTAATGTTTGACAAGGCATGAGAAACTAGTTACACACATAATTGAGAATTAAAGCACTATTAAAATAAAATTCAATACAAAATTTTACAAAACTGAAAGAGTTGCCAGCTGTACACCAAATTTCACAATAATGACAGCATTTCAATTTTAAAATCGGCATGCGTTCAAATTATTTTTCCTTTTGTAAGGTAAATTGGTTTACATAATAAATCTCATCACTGGATCAAAATTCTGTGACTCACCCACCTACCAGCATTCTGGGTGCACTATGCCAATCAGAAAGCAATAATTAAGGGGCAGCTGATCCCAACATTCAAGTGCAACAAATGCTGATGTTCTCACCAAATCTCATGGACACAAATAGTGTTGTCAGAAATTGAACAAACAAAGTACTTACCTTAACAACTGGGTGTCCTCCAGAAGATGCCTTCACAGCTCCTCGACTCCCCTCTGTCTCATAGTGAGCTCTGTGATGGGTCTTCGGCTGGACTTCTATTTTTAGTTCATATTGTAGATACTGACTTGGCAAAGGCCAGTCCAAAGAAGGCAACGACGATGTGCTAAAAGACAAAATTTACATATGCTTTAGGTGGACTGTGTGATATATTATTACACATATCTGAAATCACCTATCACACAGACATTTCAAATTATGTTTTACATAGGGTGTTAGAAGTTTCCCTTCAATACATTTCCTGTCAACATTTGCAACAATGATTGGCTGTACCAGTTCTGTAGGCAGAGCACTACAGACCTTTCGTACTTGGGCAATGCCACTTTGTGATTAGCCAAAAACAGAAAGCATTCAGAGTGTAAATTGTCACATCAGTTAATTCCTGTCAGAAGAGACAGTGCTGAAGCTGGAAGGCTTTGTTGAATGACGCTAGCAAAATTCTCATTTGTACACTTATCTTTCTATTTAAAAGAAAATGACTAAGACAAATAGAATATTTTCACACAAGCTACTGATGGACAATTTAGAAAAGGCACATTTTAATTATGTTTTTAACAAGAAATACAAGACACTTGTGCAATATTATGGAATGTAAACATGCTGATTCAATTTCAATTCTCATTCTACAGAGATCTGATTCCAACCTGATGCATGATGGTTCAATTAAAAATTAAACCTTTCCAAGGATATGTAGGAGAAAAAGAGACCTTCATAGGCTTGTCCATGGCATTTTTAAAAACTAGCTGGTAAAAGGTCAAGAGCCACCTCCATCAAACCTGCATAACTTTCCACACCTTGATGATGGTAGCAGTCTTCAATCAACTCAACAATACCTGGAACTCCATCCTTAAATCATGATTTCTGCTCATCTGCTCTCCTTTATAGCCCTTCTTAGAAAAGCATCTTTTTGACCTAGCTTTCAGCACCATTTCAAATGTCTTTCCCATTATAGGGATGGGAGTGTACACAGTATAGGTTGCTATTTGAAGCTGGTAATTATTTATGATTCTTCAAGCACTACAGAACTTAGACTTTTAATGAAGTACTCTTAATTCTGAATCACAGGATACAGGTGTAAACCCAACTCCATATCAATGCAGTACTGAATAAGTGCCTCATTGTGGGATATTTCTTTCAGCAAGATACTAAACTAAGGTTTGTCTGTTTATATATATGTAAAGTGAGAGAAGCAAAATCAGCCTCTTAGGGTATATAAAATCCAAGGGCACTGCAGGGCACAATGCAAACTCAAATATATGAATAAACAAAAGCATATCTTAATACCTTCAACTGACACAAGTACTGCTAATGAACTGCAATCTCGATGGCTGACAATACCTAAAATGTGCACTCGACAATCTTCACACCTCCAATAGTTTTTGAGAGTAGTCAGTCATACATTTCACTTTAGGTTTAATTCTGGACACTTTTGCTCAGAATACAGTCAACTCAGATCGTGCTCCAGAATGTGAGTGAACAAAAAAAAAAATCAACACTCTAATGTAGTACTGAAGTGGTACTATCTTTTGGTTGACATATCAAACTAGGGTTCCATCTGCCCTTTCAGACAGACATAAAAAGATCCTTTGGTGCAATTTTACAAGAGGTCAAGGTTGTCTATATCATGTCCTGGCCGGTGTTAATTTCTTGATCATCAAAAGCAGAACAGGTTATCTGGACGTTATCAATTACAGTTTGTGGGAGCATGCCAAGCATAAGTTGGCTGCCATTCTTCTACATTGTAAAAGAACGATTACATTTTGAAGTACTTAATTGGACGGTGACAGCTTTAAGGTATCCAGTAGTCATTAAAGATACAATATAAACACAAGGTTTTCTTTGAAATACCTTTTTCTCAAAGAACCTGTAAATGGAGCAGGTGCCAAGTCTCCCAATTTTGAGTCTTTAATAACAATATCTCTACCACTACCAGGTCAGGCTGGCAGATTAACTAAAAGGAGGCCATTAAAATGTTATAAATAGTCCATCAAAATAGGATGTTTTTCTATTATTCTGGTAATTAAACATACAATGGGTTTTGTCCCCGGGCGATACACCATTGAAATAACAAATTGCTGGCAAGCGTTGACTGCAGGTGCCTTCTCTCTTAGGCAGTCCCTTGGGATCGAGGATGACTCGCTTCCACTCAGATTCAATGGGTGCTGAAATAGCTGAAGAGTTCAATGCACAGTCTACAGACTCTGCCACACACAGAGCAGCTGGTGCTTGAAGGTTTGGGTAGATGGGCTGTTTGGATGTTTGCGTGTTCCTTCTGGCATGGCTTTCCTGATGAAGTACCTTAAAGGACTAGTGCACTCCACAATAAGCTTTCCCCCTTTTGGGTCTCTCATGAATCAGCAGACATGTTTGACCTCTTCAGGGATATTTTGAGGACATCCCTGATGTGCTACAGCCTCAACTGCCTGAGTTACTTGTAAAATTCCTTACAGGAAGCTAACTAACGAGTCAGTCTAACAATAGCTCAAAACAGGCCAACTAAAAATCACCACGGTTGCATTATATGAGATAAATAAAGACTTTAACTGATTCAGAAATGAACATTATTTACTAATTTCAAGTAACTTTACAAATACATTGCACGAGCAGTATGAAACTCTGTAAATCTCAAACTTTCTCAGAAACTTATTTGAGACTTCGTTGTTGAAATCAATTCCCTATGTAGCATCTCTTTCAGATCCATGAATGTTGGACTAACACAAATTCTATGCAAGAGGGGTCAAAGTTCCTGAAACTGGATTTATCATGACACATTCATTCAAACACTACGATCATTTACTAAGCTGAATGAACTAACGAAGTTAACAAAGATACTTTCTCCCGACCCTTTGATCCCTTTAACCCCGAGAACAAGATCTAGCTCCTGCTTGAAAACATTCAAAGTTTAGGCCTCAACCATTTCTGTGGCAGAGAATTCCACAGGCTCACCAATTTTTCAGCGAAGAAAGATCCTCTCATCTCAGTTCTAAATGGCCTACACTATATCCTTAGACTGCGGCCCTGGTTCTGAACTCCCTGGTCAACACACACATCATTCCTGTGTTTACAAAGTGTAGTCTTGTCAGAGTTTCATAGGTTTCAACTCAATTCCCCCCTCATTCTTCTGGACTCCAGTGAATATCATCCTAACAAATCCAATGTCATCCGTCAGTCCTGCTTTCCCAGGAATCAATCTGATAAGTCTGTGCTGCACTCCCTCTGGAGCCAGAGCATCCTTCCTCAGATACGGAGGGCAAATCTGCACACAATATTCTAGGTGTGATCTCACCAAATGCCCTGTACAAGTGCAGCAAGACATCCTTGCGCCCTTACTTGAACCTTCTAACTATGAAGGCCAACACACCATTTGCTTCCTTCACGATCTGCTGCACCTGAATGCTTACTTTCAGAGACTAGTGTACAAGGACACTAACTGCACTTCCCCCTTTCCCAATCCATTGCAATTCAGATTAAAATCTGCTTTCCTGTTTTTGCTACCAAAGTGGATAACTTCAAATTTATCACATTCTACTTCATCTGCTATGCATTTGCCCACTCACTCAACTTGTCCAAGTCACACGGAAGCTTCTCTTCATCTTCCTCACAGCTCACACTCCCACCCAGCTTTGTGTTATCTGCAAACTTGAAGATATTACATTTAGTTCCCTTACCTTAATCATTAACATAAGTTGTGAACAGCTGGGGTCCAAACACTGACCCCACTGGTCAATGGCTGCCACTCGAAGACAGACTCATTTATTCCTACTCTTTGCTCCCTGTCTACCATCCACGTCTCGATCCATGCCAGCACACCAACCCTAATCCCACGTGCTTTAATTTTATATGGTATATTATGTAGGACTTTATCAGAAACCTTCTGAAAGTCAAGTAAACCACATGAATTAGCTCCCGTGTCAACTTACTAACCTCATCCTCAAAAAATTTCCAGTAGATTTATCAAGAACGATTTCACTTTTGTAAATCCATGCTGGCTCTGTCTGATTCTGTCACTGTTTTACAAATGCATGGTTATTAAATCTTTTATAATGGACTGTACCATTTTCTCTCCACTATCAACATCAGGCTAACTGGTCCTGTTTTTCCAGTTTTTTCTCCACCTGGGTTTTTGAAAAGTGGGGTGACATTAGCAACCCTCCAAACCATAGGAAATGTTCCAGAGTCCGTAGAATCTAAACCACAAGGTGCTTTTAATGTAACCTTGGGCACAGAATGTCACTTTTTTAAACTTTTTAGGAGTACAGGACTGGAGTACTGCTGAAAGAGAGTCACCTTCTCAAATGCTTTTTGTCTTGCACGCATCAGGGCAATTCATAATAATACCAATGAAGTGGGGATAAAACAACATTTATACTCTGAGAGAAATGTTGATTTTTTTTTCTAAAAAGCCTTGTGGCCCTTGGTAGTGTCCCTATCTCTGGGCCAGAAGGTCCAGGGCCCGTTTGCCCTGAACGTGTGTTATAACATGCCTGCACAGGTTGATTAAAATAATTTATTTTTCTAACTAACGCATGAGTCTTCATTATGTTATCAATTAAAAATAAGTTTTAAAAACTAGGAGGTAAACTTAACTAGGGGCATTAGATCCAACTCATTAACTATTGGTAAAAGGAGTTTAGAATAAATACAGTAATTAGAGTAATCTAATTCTAATTAATACATATTCCACATTGCTCTCCTTGGCCATTGGCCATTTCCAGAAGTATTCACATTCTAACTGTTATATTACAGCTGAATTGTCAAAGAGAGTTAGCATTAAGTAAAACAGCCTTCAATTCCCTTTACTGCAATTCTCAGATTATCTGATCTACCTAAATATTGTTAAAACTACAATTGTATAACCTAGTGTCTAAGTCACCCCATTAAGTTACTTCCATCTAATCAAAATCTTCTACAGAGAAAGTTTAGAAACAGTCACTACACAAAGCATCCATACTCTGCTCAAACCATAAGTACTGATACAAGTAACCAAACCTCCCTGTACACCATCTCTCTACATCCCAGGATATGATTCAGTTTTTTTGCATTAATATAGCATTTTTCCACATTTCTGAATGGTCTTTGCAATGCATGCCAAAATTAGTAAATGTA